TGTACCACTTATATTTTTTTCTTACATTCAGATAAATAAGCCACTATAGGAAAGATTTGGACCACTGAAAAAGTGTTTGTACCATTGAAAAGAGATCTATTTATTGCAAAAATGACCAAGCAAAACAGCATGAAGTGCTATTGATTTTTTCTGCCTTCTTGTTATTCAAGAGCAGTTAGCCAGCAAAATATTGGAGGCAAAACCATAAATATCCTCTTTTATTTGAATTGCTGCTGGTATTCTTCCTCATACATGGGACAGCTCTCAAAAAGCTCAAATAACTTTGAAGGAAACAAACCACAAGAGACAGGTCAGCTAATATGGAAACCTGGGGATGAGTGTCAGCAGCTGCATTACAGATTTCATGGGACACTTCCAAACTATCCCAGTGGTCCCAGCTGAGCACCAGCTGAATGGTGGGAGATAAAACCTAGCCCTAGAAGAGCCCTGTGGCACAGGGTCCTCTGTGCAGGACAGGAACCACTCAACAGCAACAACAACTGCTCAATACCAACTCCTGGGATCAGTCTGAAAGGATATCCTATAGTCAAACAGCATAAATTTCCAAAGAGATATTTTTACTTACTGGTTTTACTTATAAACAATTTCTTTTCCAAAGGAAATCATTGAAGATTATCCTGGGAAAAGTTGCCTATGCTGCCAAGATATTTTGTTTGCTGTCTGTCTCATGTTCTTCAGAAACCCACACACCATATCCTCCTAAAAGACCTCCATTTCTGTTTACCACATTTGAAATTCCTCATTTTAAACTGACTGGCATTCAGAAACAGCCAAACTACAAAGCTTAGCACAGCAAATCAGCCTGAAGTATGTGTCTCACTGGACCAGGAACACTATGGACACTTAATTTGTAAACCAGTTTCCACAGTAATAAATTAAGATTAAAAGGTCTGAAGACATGTTCACAAATGATTCACATAATTTAAATCAGCTCCTTTGCAGTGCTGAGATTTAGGAATGTTTATGGAGTTTTGTTTTGTTGTTTTTATTTTAATTTATTGCTTCCTGCATGGTCACTCACAGAAAGAAAAAAATAAGCTAGCTGTGTACCACTATACTTCAGAGAAAGGAAAAACAGCTTCTGGGTTCACCACCAACATTCACCACAGGCAATAAGCACTGAATTATGTGCCTCAGACCTCCACCTCTGAACAGTTCACAAAAAGCCACTTGCTTTTCAGTGACAAGACAAAAGCACTCCTAATACCTTAATGGAGGCCAGCAAATCAAAACAGAAAAATTCATCAGGAATGCAAATAGCTTTGCAGGAAATATTATGGTAAGTGGAGAAACATTTAATAACTCCTAGAGTCACTGCTGTCTTGACCTGACAAGAGTCTGAAGCTGAAGCTGTTGCAGGTTGAGATCACTTCTATTCACACAATGCAGGCCACAGCCAAATGATTCTTTCCACTTTGAAGGACTCCAAGGACTTCCCCATCGGAGTCCTGTTGGGCACAGAAATGTTTGCTCTTTAGTCAGGTACTTTCTAACATGTCTGTGGTGTAGCTGAAAAGGAAAGGCTGGCTTCAGGTCAGGGACAATCTGATCTGGCCCAGAATGGTTCAGGAGAAGTAGTGGTACCTCAGTCCTCTCCAGGAAAGTTCTATAAGGAACAGTTCTATAAGAAATTTTAACCTAAACATGTCCCTTACCTAGGTTTGGGTCATAACCCAAACCACAGGCCTCTGCTTTTGAGGTATTTTTGGCTCTCTACAATTATCTTCTTTACATTCCTCCACGACGCCTGAAATCCTGCTGAAGGTCTCATCCAAGGAAAGACCTACCACTACTTTCTCCAGGCTAAAACTTTATTTATTTTGTATAGTCAGGAGATCAAAGTGAGTTACACATGTGGTTTGTGGATTCCTCTGAGCACAGAAAAATAAACCCAAGTGACCCTCAAACAACGTATGGAAAAGAAATTAAAGGGGAAATGATGATATGATTTTAGCTGGAATGCATCTTAAGACATCTAGACAAAACCATGGGAGCATAATATATATATATTTTTTCCTACCCCATTATAAACCCAAATCTTAAAAAAAGAAAAAACTATTTTGAACTATCACATTATGTTTTGAATATCTAGAAGAACCCCAAAATTAATGTTTCTAATCCTGATCCCTTAATAAGCCAGAGATATGCAGACAAAAAAATCTACCACCAAGAAGTTCTTAGCTATTTTCCATTGACCTACTGCCATTTCCTCTTCTTGGAATTCCCTATTAAGGCACCAAAAACCTTCACTGATACAGAAAATATTCTACCCTTTTTTGAAACTGACACCTGCAAAGCTGTATGCTCTTGTGAGTCTCAAAAAACCTCCAAAAACCCACAAAAACACACCAGGGAAAAAAA